GAGAGAGAGAGAGAGAAAGAGAGCAAGTGGGGGAGGGCCAGAGAGAGAGACAAAGAGAGAGAGAGAAAATCCAAGCAGGCTCTGCACTGTCAGCACAGAGCCTGACTCGGGGCTTGAACTCACCAACCCTGAGATCATGACCTGAGCCCAAACCAAGTCAGACACTTAGCCGACTGAGCCGCCAGGCACCCCTGCCCTTCTTTGTGAGCCTTTTCTTTCTTCTTGTACACGGGCGAGGTGCTTGGATGTGCAGCAGGCAGTGTGAACACACGAGGGGGCAAGCCCGCCTGTGGAGGACAGCGGGGTGTGAAGACGGAGCTGAGTCCTTGTTAGTATTGCTGTCACGACTCTAACCCAGGGCCATTCATGTGATGACCCCAGTTGAAACCACTGCTCATCGGGCATTCAGTTACCTGTAGCTAACCACCTTCTTGGTTCCCTACGATAATTTTTAAAAGGCCGAAGAACAGGGGCACCTGGGTGGCTCAGTCGGTTGAGCGATCGACTTCAGCTCAGGTCATGATCTCACGGCCTGTGAGTTCAAGCCCCACGCCGGGCTCTGTGCTGACAGCTCAGAGCCTGGAGCCTGTTTCAGATTCTGTGTCCCCCCCCCTCTCTCTGCCACTCCCCCACTCATGCTTTGTCTCTCTGTCTCAGAAATAAATAAACATTAAAAAAATTTTTTTAAAGGCTGCAAAATAATACACAAAGCAGCAGATGGTTGCCATGGGCATATGGCATTATGCTTTTAAAATTTTATTATAATGTACTGAAGCACGGCAGGATTTAATATTGCTAAGAGGAGTGAAACGTGACATTTTTAAATAAATATTTTTTATTTGTAAATAATTTTAAATAAATGGTTTCATGACCATCATGAGCTCTCCATTCTGCTGAAGGTAGTTGTTGCTGGAGGACATAATTAATCTGAAAGAGACAACTAAAAACATTTTTTTTCAATATTTATTATTGAAAGACAGAGTGAGACAGAGCATGAGCATGGGAGGGGCAGAACGAGGAGAAGACACAGAACCTGAAGCAGTCTCCAGGCTCCGAGCTGTCAGCACAGAGCACGACGTGGGGCTCAAACCCACCAACTGCGAGTTCGTGACCTGAGCCAAAGTCGGACGCCCAACCGACTGAGCCACCCAGGCAGCCCAAAGAGACAATTTTTTAAATTAAACTTTTTACTTATTTATTTTGAGGGCGACAGAGACAGCGCGAGTGGGGGAGGGGCAGAGGGAGAGGGAGAGAGAGAGAACCCCAAGCAGACTCCGTGCCGCCAGCACAGAGCCTGACTCAGGACTTGAACCCACAAAAACGAGAAATCGTGACCTGAGCCGAAATCGAGAGTTGGCTGCTTAATCGATTGAGCCGCCTGGGCACTACTGGAAGAGACCATTTTAAACTGAAAGATACTGAGCTGTTCCTACCGTCGAATTCTTTTTTATTAAGGCATAATATATCCACAAAGCATAAGATCAAGTAACATGCACAAGTCACACTTGTACAGCTGAAAGAATCTCACAAGGTGGGCACACCTGGGAAACGAGCAGGAATTAGAACACTAGCCCCTTCTCGTCACTGTCCCCCCAGACCACAGCTAACCACCCTGATTTCTGAGGCCCGAGAGTCATTTTCCTGTTAGTAGAACTGTGCACATGGAAAGCCGTATTCAGTAGAATTCTGTGTCTGTCAGCCTTGGCTCAAAATTCTGTCTGTGAGATCCATCCCCGTTGTACGACGTAGCACAGGCTTCTCGTCTGGTGCTGGGTAGTATTCCATGGTGAACGTGCTAATTTACCCACGGAACTATCCGCAGTTAAGGTCCTATGGCCCAGGACTATGAACTATGCTGGCTCAACAGGATGGTATGTGGACCGCTGTATCAGAGGATCAGAGCTCAGGTGAGTCCTTGGAGAGTGGTGCTGGCTGAGACCCTGCAGCAGGAAGGACGAGTCCACATTTGCAGATGAATAGGTGCCCTCGGCAGGTGGCTGGTTCCAAGGGAATCAGTGTGGGACACTATGTGAGGGACTGGTTGATCTCCTCAGGGGACGGTGCCGGTCTGGGGGCTCAGGATTGGCCTCTGCTATTGGCAGGTTGGATATCAGGCAGGGACAGTGACTAAATGGGGCTTGGTGGGAGGGAGTCTATACTGTTCTACCCATACGGAGTTGTCTTCCCTTCCGCCATGGCGTCCTCACGCAACTATTATCCTGCACTAGGCTGGCCCGTGACAGTCAGTCCCCAGCCAGTCCCCAGCTGGCCAGGCCATTCTGCCATCAGTATTTCGCTCTGTGGGGTTGCCCTCGGGAGCATGTGAAAAGTAATTTAAAAAGAGAGAGAGAGATGTTCCCATTTCGTGTGTTATTCCCTTTGGTTCATCCATGTGCCTGCTTCCACAGACCAACTTCTTCCCAATCTTCCACCTCCGAGGCCTTTAGACCCTGCTCATGAGTCTTTGTATATTCTTACTTCGGGCCATTTCTCTTTCCACACAAAACGGATGGTTGGGTACGCCACCTACAGCTCTGCCCATTGGGGGATATACCGTCTCACGAGCCCACCCCCGGAGCGGGGGCATGAGCAGGATAACGCCAAGGTGACCTGTCTGTGAGCCACTCTCGGCTCCTCTCATACCCCCTCCACTAGCCACGTGGCCACGGTTTTGCGCTAAGGGGCAGGAGCTCACACGGGGCTGACAGATGACAGGGTGGTCTAGGGCACCTGCTTGTGGAGCTTCCTGGCGTTTCCATTTTTATGCGGCTTTGCTACCAAGCCCATCCAATCTCGCAGGTGCGTCTGCACGAATCAGACCACGATGGCGATACCTTGTCCTGTCGCCACTTAATGTCTCATGCTCGGATGCTCTGACTCCACTAAAGCCCTGGCATACCACAAGCTGCTTTTCCAATAACGCTTTCTGTGCAGATGGCACGACTTTGCATCAGAGCAGTTTATACTGTGACTCTTTTACTGGTGTTCACTACACAATCTGCATGGAGTCTCCTCCCATCCCAGGTACGTCTCCTACCATAAAGTTTGCCAAGTCTCGAGGCCACACAGAAGGGCTGCTTTCCCTGCCACCAGGAGTCTGGGACAGATCCCTTTCCTGCTGTTAGCCCCAAACAGAGCTGGCAGCCTCTTCATGTCATTGGATGTAGGAATCAGAGCAGTATTCTCAAGCATAGAATATGCTGCCTGTGGCATCCAAAATACCATGCAGTTAGTTTGCTTCCCCTTTAGTGGTGGGAAATCCCAGATGCAGTAATCTTTCTTTTACGTTGGAAGGAATGTCCTGCCAAGTCCCGGACAACTGGACCCCTAACATCTTCACTGATATAGCAGTTGCCTGGATCTTCAAAGGGTTTACTTCCTGCCCTATGTGGCACACATCCTTTACCAAGGACTGGCAAATTGCCATCCGGTTCTATTAACATTCTGCATTAACACAGTGGACCGAGGTGATATTCTGATGAATACTGACGATAGCCATTCTCAATTTGGGTCCCAGGGCCTCCTTTACATTCTTCAGAATTCTCGAGTACCCCGGAGAGATTTTGTTTACGTGAGTTTCATCTATATATGTTTCCTGGAATATAGTTTTAAATGGACAAATTTCAAACACATCTGTGTATTAAGCTGTTAAAAATAAAGTAATAAAGCCATTACGTGTTTACATAAATGGCATAGCTTTAGGAAAAAATGACTCTATTTTCCAACAAAAATTTTGAGGGGCATTGTTTAACATTCTTGCAAATGTTTTCAAGACACCTGGAACCTTGTATTTGTTCCTGCACACCATCTGTTGTGGTACATTATTTTGGCTTAAGTTTACAAAGAAAATCCAGCCTCATAGAAATAGATAGCTGGAAAGTGGAGGGTGTTTTAATAGTCTTTTCAGATAATTACGGATATGTTTTTGTGATGGTATATTGAAACTCAGTAAGTGGTAGTTTGTTGTAATACGGAATCTGAAGTCCTATGGTGCTCTTTTTGGACTCCGTTAGGTTAAAGCCCATTGGTCTACTTTGCCATTTGAAATAGGTCTTTTATTCCTCTCTGATTGTGCACCATCATGCACTGGTCATCGGCTCACTGAATTCTCCAGATACTCCAGATATCGACACCTTTCATTATATAATGTCAAAGACTCACATTTGTTAATCTCACCAGCAATCTCATCAGAAAGGTCGTTAAGTATTGGGAAGCTGTCAAGTTCACGGTGGTGGTTATGAGTTTTCCAAAATTCTAATTTTCACTCAAAAGCTCACATTTCATTATAGGCAACAAACGCTGTCGGTTGTTTTGCCTGAAGTGAAGGCTCATTTCATTCATCTTGAGAAAATATCTACCAAATACCCAAGACTCAGTAATGATAGTTTATTACCTGTCAGTAGTTCCTTCAAGTAAAAATGGTGTTTCCTTAAAAAAAAAAAAAAAAAAAAAAAAAAAGAAAAGCGCTTTTCGTTCAAATCAAATGATCACATGCGTGCTTTTCCTTCAGACAACCATCTTCTTTCAGTGTATCCTAGAAATGCCATATGTGTACCTTCCGACTTGTAACATTGACTTTTAAAAAGATGTGTACTCAGGGGCGTCTGGGTGGCTCCATCGGTTAAGCATAGACCTTCAGCTCAGGTCATGATCTCACGGTCCGTCGGTTCAAGCCCTGCATGAGGTTCATCAGGTTCTGCGCTGACAGCTTGGAGCCTAGAGCCTGCTTTGGAGTCTGTGTCTCCCTCTCTCTCTGATCCTCCCCCACTAGCACTCGGATCCTCTCTGTCTCTCAAAAATGAATAAAAATGTTTAAAAAATTTTTAAAAAGATGTGTACTCAAAGGTCTGGATTTGATATAATTAATATATAGTTTAATCTATTGATATAATAAATTACTTATAGTATAAACATGCTATATAGTACTATATACAGTATTACTTATACGTATAATTTATTACTTATAGTAATATAATTTAATATAATTGATGCTTCCTTAGGACATTCTTCAGTGAAGCTGGCAATTTTTCCTTTAGTTTTCCTCCTGCGAGTGCATGGCGGCGAGGACTCTCATCCCACTGCTCTGATGTGCGCTCCAGTCCCCGCTCTCAGGTTTGCACACCGCTGCCTCCGCACCCTCGGTGAAAATGTCAACCCAGTGACAAAAGCAAGCCGTGTCTTAGTGTTATTGTGAAAATAGCTTTGACCTCCTAGACCTGCTGGAAGGGCCCGAGGGGCGTCTCAGGGTTTGTGGACCCACACTCTGAAAACCATTCACCTAGAGGATCCAGGATCCTTCAGTCCATTTTATGACCACGAGAGGGAAAGTTAACATAGCCCCGGAACAAGAGCATAAATGTTTGCCGTTGGCTGTCCCAAGTGCCTGTTCGAACTGCTTTCATTCTCCTGTCTGATGGGAGTGGAAAACAGCTCAGGGACCAGGCCAGTGGCTGGCTGCATACCGGGTAGTGAAAGCTGTGTTAATCCACTCCAGCCGGCGTGCCAATTCAGCTGCACCTGCACGGGCTGTGCAACTGTGCTACTAATGCTTGATTAAGTTTGTGGTAGATCCCTGTCATCTGCCGGGATCCAGCTGATGTTATAGGGATTAAGTAGTGACTTCCATGTGGATAAGACAGGGAGGTGATAATCTCTGCCATTTCCCTTCAGCTGTGTTGTTGTTATTTGCTGTCTTGGCTGCCGGTTGTGGGAGGAGTTTTGGAGGCTCCCTCTTGGCCTTCCCTATCATAATAGCTTTTACCCCACAGGTCAACAGACCGATGTGGGGCTCTGGCAACTACCACAAATGCAGTCTAATCTTCTGGGAAGTGGAGAAATAACCCCTGGGGAAGGTCCACTTCTCTGGACCTTCAGAAGGTCTCTACTCTGACCTGGACCTTGGCCTCCATTTGTTGGCTGGCCTCCAATCGCTCCTGCTCCAATGAGGAGGCCATAGTAGCTCTTTGGATTCCTAAATATCAGTGTCAATTCAGACTGTGTCCAACAGTCCTCGGAAGGTCTGGATGCTTCCTTTCCTCCATGCACAGTTACCTGTGATTATAGCTGTCAGTTCTTTGGGAGAAGGACTGAGGATATTTCTGAGTACACGTAGTACTGTGTTGTAGGGTCACTCGTCACAGGCACCTGGCTTCTCTTCTCCTTCAGTCCATGGGTTCTGGGCCTGAGAAGTGGTTCAGGTGTGACGACTGGGCAGAAGACTGTGTCTCTTTTACTAGGCTAACTATCATCGGCCTCCTCATCACCCATGCTTGGTTTATTTTAAGCACATGCCTTATGCAGTGCTCTGGTCAGCTGCCCATCTATCTAGACTCGAGGTTCACTGTGTTCTTGTCACCATCTCCATAGCTCACTGCAAATTGGCCCCTCCCACCTGCCCCTATGACTTTGTTGTTTGTCACAGTAATTATGGGAGGAGCACCATATTATCCAAGAGGTGCAACTTCCACAACCACGTCCTGATATTATTTTATAGGATTTCAATAACAATTTAGCATCTACTTATTCCTGACTTCACCTTCTTCGGAATAACTAGGCTTCAAAAAAAGTACAGCGTCACTGCTCTGAGGTTAGAAGTTAACTTCATTTTTATATTAGCATGTTTCCACTCAGATAGCCTTAATTGTGCCTACATCAAACACAAACACCAGTAGTTTACTTGGGAGATCGTTTTTTTTTTTTTTCTGATTTTGTTTTTTTTCAGCAAATATTTATGGAGCCTAATACATTTTAGGCTCTTTGTTGGGTGTGATAGGAAAACAACAATAAAGAAAAGCTGTCTGACTTGAGATATTCATTATTCAGCCTAATGAATTGCCTATGACTAGGATAGTCAACCAGTTCATGTAGTTCATCCAGAAAGACATGGAAGGACAGGCCAGTGGTTTGTCATCAAGATGAAAGGGTTGAGCAATGGTTTATTGCCCCGGAGCTCCTCTGAATGATAACCTGTCACCCTTGATACATGTTCTCCCGGACAAAGTCTGTGTGTATTGCCCTATGAGGATGCACCCAGAGAATAACCCATTGTTAGTGGTCTCCAAACTAGGTACATGCCCCCAGGTGTGTGTAAGGCAATCAGTGGGGGGTTGGGCTGAAAATAATGTCTATCTGTGCCCTTTTATCCTTTGAAAAAGGAAACAAATACACTCTATCATATATAATCTGGATTTTGACTAGCAGGTTTATTCTTTTGGTTGCATGATATGTATGGAGCTTGAGACATCCTGAATGAAAAGTAAGATCTCCACCGGCTGATGGCACCTTGTTCTTTAAGTCTATTGTGACCTGTGATTGTTTTCTACTATTAAGTAGATTAGATGAACAAAACAATAGATTTTTTTTTTTTTTGTATATAAATAGGGGCAAGCAGTTGTTTTAAATGTGTGGAGACTACTGTCTTTTCAGTTATAGGCTAGATACATACTTATCATCCCATCCACAATACATTCCCATTTTCTTCCTAACCAAACAGCAAGCCTAGATTTTTCTGGCCATTGTTAAGCATATGGAGAAGGTAAGCCTTCAGGCCACTCAGACTGGCTTCTCTGGTTATTTTTATTTTCTCTCACCTTTGGAAAAAATGGTTGGGAATCACATTGAGTTCTGTAAATTGCTTTGGTTTTTCCCTTACCATTAAATAATCTCTTAAGGCTGCCATGGATGGAATTGTGCCCCCCATTCATATGCTGAAACCCTAAACCCCAATGTGGCAGTATCTGGAGACAGTCTTCAGAAGGTTAAATGAGTTCATGAGGGTGGGGCCCTTATCCAACGGGACTGTGGGCTTAGAAGAGAAAGATTGATCTCTCTCTCTCTCTCTTTCTCTCTCTCTCTCTTTCAACTTTCCTCAAGCCATGAAAAGACCCCTCATCAGAACCTGCCCATGCTGAGACTCTGATGTCAGACTGCCAGACTCCAGAACTGTGAGGTCAATGTCTGTTGTTTAAGCCACAGTGTGTGGTATTTTGTTTTAGCAGCCCAAGGCAATGAAGACAAGGGCTTAGCTTTCAATTGTTGTGAAATCCTAATTATTTGTGTAGTAAAACATACCAATTAAGAGCATAGACTTGGGGGGCAGCTGGGTGGCTCAGTCAGTTAAGCATCTGACTTCAGCTCAGGTCACAATCTCACGGTACGTGAGTTTGAGCCCCCTGTCTGGCTCTGTACTGACAGCTCAGAGCGTGGAACCTGCTTCTGATTCTGTGTCTCCCTCTCTCTCTGCCTTTCCCCTACTCATGCTCTCTCTCTCTCTCTCTCTCTCTCTCTCTCTCTCTCTCTCTCTCTCATAAATAAACATTTAAATAAATCTTGTGGTTTTGGGAAAGTTCCTTCATCTCCAGGATTCCATTTCCTCAATTATAAAATAGGGATAAGGATTCCTTAATTTTCTTTTTGTGGTAGGACCACACAGGGATATGCATTTGACACCTGGTTTGCCATATAGATTTTATGTAATAATGATGATGCCTTAATGGTTTATTGATCTCATGAAATTGTGATGGTTTGGTGGATAGGAAAAATCTTATCCCTCCCATCCTTGCAAGTAGGGTGGAATAAGGTTATGTTCTGCATTTTGATTTTTTCTCACTTTAAACTTGTAATTAATAATCTTAGTTTGGAGGCTCATGGGAGGCTCAGTTGGTTAAGCATCTGACTCTTGACATCAGCTCAGATTTGGGAGATTGAGCTTTGCACCAGTCTCTGCACTGATGGTGCGGAGCCTGCTTGCGATCCTGTCCCCCACTTGCTTTCTCTCTCTCTCTCTCTCTCTCTCTCTCTCTCTCTCTGAAAAAAAAGAGAATCTTAGTTTATACTTGAATCAAATAGATGCATACCTTCCCATTATAAAAAATGTAAAACAAGCATCTTTCTATATGCCAATGATATGGCTTAATCACAAGTTGTAAGTAACTTTAGTAGACAACAGAACTCATCCTAGGATGAGCACAAAGTTCAGAAGAGTCATTGTCATTGAACTAAATGTCCCTTTAATTCAAATTGGTGTTAAAAACCCCCCCCCCCGGTATATCATCTTGGTTGTATCTTTCGTACGTATCTTTTGTTGGATGGTGTATTCATTGGCTAGAGCTGCTGTAACAAAATACCACCACTAAGTGGCTTAAACAACAGCAATTTACTTTTTTCTGTCACAGTTCTGAAGGCCACAATTCCAAGATCAAGGTGTCATCAAGTTTGGCTTCTCCTGAGGCCTCTTTCTTTGGCTCACAGATGGTCACCCTTCTGCTGTGTTCCCACACGGTTTCCTTCTGTGTGTGCACATTTATGGGGTCCTTTTGTATGTCAGACTTTCATCTTCCTATGAGGACACCAGCCCAACTCACCATAGGAGCCTCTGTTTAACTTCATCACTTTTTAAAAACCCTATTTCCAAATACAATCATGTTTTGAGGTACTGGAGGTGAGCACTTCAACACAAGAATTTTGAGGGAGAAGGGGACATAATTCAGCCCCCAGGAAGAAAACCAGGAAATTCCACTCCTCAAAACTGGCATTTCAGAGGTGCTTTATGGCAGAGTTGTAGACCTGTTTACATGTTTTTTGAGCTAAAATTATGACCATGCTCTAAGATAAAAAACTGAAATTTCTGATTTCTCTTTGTGTTTCTTTAAAAGATAAATCAGGATTTCTTTTTAAAAAAGGTTTTTCTGGAAATGCTCCATTGGACTTCTTCTTTTTGAGAGCATTTGACTTCATTCTTACCTATATGACACTCCAGTTTTTACCAAAAAACCTCAGTTACGCCTGGCTTGCTCTCCTATTTGAAGCGTCTCACTTAACAGACAGCTAGCTGTAGCACACAGTACCAGTGGGGAATATGCCTGCATCCCATATGCCTTTTAAGATCTGTATCCGGAGATACCATCATCAAGGCCTGCTGCCCACTGGTTATGCAGCTCACCCATTATTCCAGGTCACGGGCCCCTGAAGTGGAATGCAGAATTGTTCAGAACATTTGTTTCAAAGACGAAGATTCATGGTCTACATCTCAGTTCCATTGGTTCTATGGCTCCAAGAAAGTCACGTGCTCTGAATGAGCACAAGTTTTCCCTTGACTAGACCCACACACAGAAGCACTGTACACGGGCAGCCACCATCCGGTGTGTTTAAGGAATATTTGGTTAAGCAGCTCTGTGAGTAATCTTGTGTTGAATGAAGAATAGTCGCATCAACGTTTCCCAACAGCAGTCTCTCTTATGGGCCCCAGTGGAGAAGTTTCTCTCTTCCCAGTGCAGTCTCCTGATGCTTATCATACTCATTTAGAAACTGAATCTTATAACGGGGTGCCTGGGTGGCGCAGTCGGTTAAGCATCCGACTTCAGCCAGGTCACGATCTCGCGGTCCGTGAGTTCAAGCCCCGCATCGGGCTCTGGGCTGGTGGCTCGGAGCCTGGAGCCTGTTTCCGATTCTGTGTCTCCCTCTCTCTCTGCCCCTCCCCCGTTCATGCTCTGTCTCTCTCTGTCCCAAAAATAAATAAACGTTGAAAAAAAATTAAAAAAAAAAGAAAGAAACTGAATCTTATAACAAAACGTATTTCTCATTTTCAAATAGCTAAAAAGCTTTTGGCCAAATTTGTGGCCCGCCACTTGTGAATGTATGGGACTTCATAATACCTACTGTATGTACTGAAAAAAATTTTTTTACATTTATTTATTTTTGAGAGACAGAGAGAGACAGAGCACAAGTGGGGGAGGGGCAGAGAGAGAAGGAGACAGAGAATCCGAAGCAGGCTCCAGGCTCTGAGCTGGCAGCACAGAGCCCGACGCGGGGCTCGAACCCACAAACTGTGAGATTACGACCTGAGCCAAAGCTGGATGCTTAACTGACTGAGCCACCCAGCCCCCCCCCTACTGTATGTACTTTAAAAATGCTTAATGCCATCTTATTTTCCTTGCTGTCATGTTGGTTTTCTTAGTTTATTTTATCTTTGTATATCATGTGTCTGCAAAGTGCTTTACATCATAACTTCTGGGTAGGGCCTTTTGATATTTTTGCAATTACTGTGAATGAATATATGGTTATGTGTGTATGCACAGGGAAAGAGTTAAATGCTCCCTCTTTTTTTCTAGTGAGATGGAGTGTTGTTGTTGTCGTCGTTGTTGTTGTTGTTGTTTATAATAACTTGTTTCCAATGTTTCCCTTCATGGGGAGCAAATCTAATAGGGTCTACTGGAAAGACTGCAGCTTTTCTGTGATTCTGAGGAAATAGTTTAAACATTCGAGTTCCAATGCCTCAACCATCTCTAGGAACAGCAGTAAATACTATCTTGCCTTTTCTCATTAAAGGAAAACTACCCTTTAAGGGAAGCACTGGGTGTTGTGTAGGAAGAATGCAATAGTATACTGAAATCTTCAGTAGTTGAAAAGCCAGTGTGATACCATCTTAGACGCTTAACCTGGAATACGCTTACAAAATGTAAGTCCCTGCGGAAAGCTGAGAACCCACTGAAGGTACGCAGACCACCCCTAGAGGATCGTGGGCAGGGGGTGGCTACAGGAATGTCTCAAGGGAAGTTCATTGGTAAACTTGATCCATGAGGGAAGCCCATTTCAGAAAGCAGGGCCAGTACCGAGGACAGCACCAAGCCCCGCGCCCCGGTGGAGCGAGGCAGCAGCACCATGGACAGCACCAGCGTGCCGGGGAGAGAGGCGGGGAGAGGCGACCTTATCAGCTGATGCCTTACGTAGGCTGGTTCCCCACTTTGATAAGGGAGGTCTGGAGCGCGCGCCAGTGTTCGTTCTCCAAAAGCTGCAGCCCCAGATGGGGTGGGGCTAGGGGACGGGTGGTGGCGGGGTGGGGGGGGGGGAGGGGCGGGGGGGGGGGGAAGAGCGGGGAGGGGGGAGGGATAGCAGAAGGCAGGTCCCCGAAAGCAGGTCCCTGCTTGGCTTCCCTGGCACGGAGTTGAGGCTGCAGCCCGCTGCCTGGAGAGAGGGGCGGGTACGGAGGCAAGGCTGCGAGAGTACTGCTCTGACGCACCAGCATCCTCTCCGGCAGGAGAGGCACCCACACGCTCCAGGGTCGCCCAGCTTCCCCGCCCCCCCCACCTCCCCGACCTGGGAGATGCTCAGCTCTGGGCGACCAGACTGCTGTCTCCGCGGAGGTGAAAAGCCTGGGCATGTGACAGCTTAGGCGGGCCCCGGCTGCGAGACGCAGCCCAGCGCCCTCCTCTCCGCCGCGCCGTCTCCCACGGATGCTCGCCGGCAGAAGGTTGGGGCCAGTTTCATAGGCAATCCCCAGAAGCCCTAGCCCCAGCCAGAGGCTGCAAACATCCGAAGTGGCTCTGGACGCAGTGGCCACCGTCCGTCTTCCTGAACTCCCCTCCTGCACACACCCTGGGCCGGCCTCCTGACCCAGAGATGGATTCGCCTGTGAACCTAACCTACTTTTCCCTCTCCACCCCCGCCCCTTTGGAGACCAACCGCAGCGGCCTCGGCGCGGAAGACTCGCGCCCCAGCCCCCTCCTCTCCGTCTTCGGTGTGCTTATCCTGACCTTTCTGGGCTTTCTGGTGGCCGCCACGTTCTCCTGGAACCTGCTGGTGCTGGCGACCATTCTCCGTGTGCGCACCTTCCACCGGGTTCCGCACAACTTAGTGGCGTCCATGGCCATCTCGGATGTGCTGGTGGCCGCGCTGGTCATGCCCCTGAGCCTGGTGCACGAGCTGTCCGGGCGCCGCTGGCAGCTGGGCCGGCGACTGTGCCAGCTGTGGATCGCGTGCGACGTGCTCTGCTGCACGGCCAGCATCTGGAACGTGACGGCCATCGCGCTGGACCGCTACTGGTCCATCACCCGCCACCTGCAATACACACTGCGCACCCGCAAGCGCGTCTCCAACGTTATGATAGTGCTCACCTGGGCACTCTCCGCGGTGATCTCCCTGGCCCCGCTGCTCTTCGGCTGGGGGGAGACCTACTCTGAGGACAACAAGGAGTGCCAGGTGAGCCGCGAGCCGTCCTACACCGTGTTCTCCACCGTGGGCGCCTTCTACCTGCCCCTCTGCGTCGTGCTCTTCGTGTACTGGAAGATCTACAAGGCGGCCAGGTTCCGCGTGGGCTCCAGGACCAACAGTGTCTCACCCATATCGGAGGCTGTGGAGGTGGGTGTTTTAGTGACCCTTGCAAATACTTCACTCGCGTTCCTACGGGCCTTAGCTCCAGCACGCTGACTTGAAAGTTTGTAGGAAGTGAGCTTTTTAGTTTCCTTTCTTGGGGAGGAGTGGGGGCAAAGGGGAAGGGGTAGACCGGGGTAGCTGAAGAAACCCTTGGAGGCTGATTTTGCTCCAACGCGCTCAGTATCACAGAGCCAATAATGGTCTTTACCATCTCTGATGGGGTTTTTCCCCCCATATGGGAAATGAGGGGTTTGGACTACATTCTTCCACAGGGTCCCATCTGGCTCTAAAATTCTGTGACTCTATCACACCCTGTAGGAGAGCGGAAGAAGCAGGTGTCTGGGGCTATACTAGATAAACTTGCAGCTTCCTGCATTGGGACTGAGCTGCTCAATGAGGAAGGAAGGGACAGATGGTGAGGTGCCTTGGCAGAAAGATTGCCAAACAGCAGGCCAAGCAGATTCATGTTTCGACCCAATCTATTTTTTTTTCTTTGCAAATTAAAGCAGCTAGCTTTGCAGAATACAGGGTCTCCTGGATTACTCTCTGCAGTTCTGCAGCGTCCTCTTCCCCTGGTGTGAGATTACAGATCTTTGTCTGTCTCCAAGCCTGCATTTGTTATGTCCCATCGTTGCCTGTGGTGCTGCTCTCTGGGTGTAGCCCCAGCCCTGTCAGGCTTCTGTGTATAGCCGAGGATCACCTGTTTGCCTTCCCAGACAGGCTACGGGACGGCCGCGGGGGGGGGGCGGAGAGGGATTAAAAATCTAAGGCAGACAATTCCCCAGCTCTTTGCAAGTGGCATTTTCTGTAGGACAATCGTTACAGCCACAGTGGGGATCTCTTCCAGTTCTCTCTCCGCCACACTTTCCTGTTTCTTGTTAACTCTTAGTAATCCAACCCTGATTTCAATTCAGGAAATATACGACAACTGAACCCATGGGGTGTGGGGATTGCGTCCCCCCTGACCAACTCATTGCCAAGGTGATCCCTTGAGCCTAATTCACTTTTTTAAGTGAGATCAGAAATCGACACAGCCCCATTTTCTGTTAGGGGCTCTAGGACAACAACATAAATTCAATTAAGCATATCAAGCACATACTATGGGGATGGTGGTAGGAGTGAAACAATGAAAGACGTCATCTTTGCCCATGAAGAGTTCCCTCTAGTGGGGGAGGTAAACACCTACTGTGGATGCTGTAATGTGGTTCTGTTTTCCTGATCAGAGGCTAACTCCAACAATAACCAGTCAATCAAGCTTAGAGGGACCAGAGGTGTAGGTAATGGAGGAGAAAGTGCATCATTCTGGAAGAAAGAAGGGACAGGGGGTCAGAGGCTACCTATCCTTTTATCTGGAACAATGGTCTCAACCAGGGGTGATTTGCCCCCTCCATTTGGAATGTCTGGAGACATTTCTGATTATCAAAGTTTGGGAGAGAGTGTTAATGGCATCTAGCGTTAGAGGCAAGGGGTGGGGCTAAACATTGTACAGTGGCCAGGACAGCCCCCACAAAAAATAATACAGGCCAAAACGACAGTAATGCCAAATTTGGGAAACCTTGACCTATTAGATTTCTAACCTGAATGAGGAGTGCTGATGGCTAAGAGTGCTCATGGCACCAGACTGTCAGGAACTTCCATGTGTATGAGAATCACCCCAAGCCCAGGTCAGGAGCAAGAGGACTGACCACCTTCAAGGGTCCTCCTTACACAGACTCTCTTCCACCGGGATGCTTATCCAGGTAAATGGTTTACAATCAGTACCAGATACAGCTTTACAAGGAAAGCAGTCACAGTTTTTCTTGTGAGGCTTACTGCAAGGCGATGCAGGCTTTCACTGCTCTGCTCTGGAGACAACAGAAACAAAGCATCATGATATCTTTGTGCTTTTATACACTAGTCTGCACTGTTTCATTTTCTCTCCTTTCTCTGCCAGGTAACTTTAAAAAAATGGTTTGTCTTGGCTTTGCAAGACCTCCAAATGATCCAGGGTTCCACATACAATATGGTGCTGCCTCTGTCCTCATGTTACTGTGAAGGGTTAATTACAAACCAGGTCTCCTGATTTCTCCATGGTAGCAGGTGCCAAAATTTCTAAATACAGTTCTACCACCAACTAGCTGTGTTACCCAGGGAAACACAATACTTCCTCCTTCTTTATCTGCTGAGTTTTCTCCAAGGATATTACTGAGAACCTAACCTATGTCAGACACTGAGATGGGAACTGGCAACACAAGAGATGGGCTTTGCCCTCAAAAAAAGGATGATGAAAACACTACCAAAGATCTGGCATAAAAAGATAATGCTGAATTTATTATTTACTAGTGTATGGCTGAACCATGCTGGCCAGGCACAATCTCTCTGAGCAGAGAAGAATGTTGATCTTAAATAGCATTTTTAGAAAGCTTGGAGTTCAGACATTGGGAGGCTTTGAGAGATATATGTAGGTTGATATCATCTGTATGAGTCTTAAATTTGTTGGTTGGTTGTCATCCCAGTAGGGGTTTACTGGAATGAATCCAACCCAGGTTGACCTGGGACTGACACTGCTAGGTTGGTTTGTAAAATAAGTCCATTGAGTTGAATTGCCCCTGATCAATAGACCAAGTTTAAGCTGGCTCTAGGCTATAGAACACACAGTCTTGTCCTAAGTTTGTGGGAACATTTAGTTCTCAGGCTCCCACTCTTGGTCCTTATTCAGCCAAAGCTTTGAGAGAAACCCTCAAGGACTAACCAGATATTGACCACTATTGGTGATTCCCCCGGAAGATGAAGTTTCATCTGTGGAGATCTGATGCTCAAATTGCACATCAGTCAATGTAATTTCCAATCATTTCTCAGGACAGGGCAGTGCAGAAGCATTTAAGCTCTGGCTACCAAGCATTGAACAACTCTGAGGCAAACAAGTAGAAGTATTATAAGAAGGGCCTGGAAGATCTCCCAAGTCATGACCCAGGATTTTCTAGTCCTAATCAAAGCCAGTCGCAAAGATTCCCTGTGTCTACCTAAGACTGCTAGTTTACCTTTTCTTTTAGTTTAAAAATAGTTGTATCTTACCTGTAGTGTTAATCCAGGTACAATGTGAAGTCTTACTTAGTGTTAGTGGGTAGACTCCTCCTTGGCTGGCCAAAAGCAAATCTGGAGTGATTTTATTAGTCAAGGTTTTTTAGGTTAAGATACTTAAATTGCTTTGTTGTGCCCCCAGAGCGTAGACTGTACAATTTATTATGTCAGCCAATGTAGACATTATTGTGCCAACCAGTTTTTTTAAATGAAAACCTCAAGTTGTCTGACTCCTATGGATGAGGTCAGTATTCTCAGGAATCTTTTCCCTGAAAGAGTTTTAACCATTTGGACTCTTTGTAAGGAGATATAATCCATTGAGGGCATTGGAGAGTTAGTCCTTGAAATGGCTTAACCGATGGCCCTACTGAACAATCAACCTTGTTTCTTGATTGACATGAAAAAGCGTGAGTTTAGTATGGGATAAAGAACCCTGGAGGTGTACAAGAGATGTGATCAACTTCAGTGAAGCTATAGGTATATTGTCAGACAGTCTTCATGTACTCATCTGCTTGGTCAAGGTTCTCGTTTAGCAGCCAATGCCTACCCCTCTACTTCTGGGCATTGTCTGCAGCTAATGTTGAGGTCATCCTCCCTGAATCCTAACACTGCAGTTTAGGATAATTTTAGAGAGCATTAAGTCACCAACCGAGTAATTCACATTTGTTGTTCATTTTTAAAGAACGCCTGAAGAAGGTGCTTCTATAGCATGTTGAAGAAGTGAATTATCTGGAAAGCATACCAGTTGTTAGTTCCTATACCTCCTCTTCTATTATTTTAGCAATTTTATATGCCCTAGAAGCAGCCACCGTTGAGTCATTGAACAGTTTGGCTTCTGATATGAAATTACGTTTTATGAGAAAGACTGAACTACTTATTACATATCAAATTGATTATTACACATTATTTTTATTTTCAGTATAGCACCCACCAACAAAGAATAGTAAGTTGTAATTTCAAACAAGAGCGAAAAAAATTCTGCTTGGGGCAAGGACACTTCTTCAGTTACAGAAACACAATCATGAGACTTACCTTCATTGGCTAAGGATTATACAGTTGCCGGATTGTTAGTGTTAAGCCAATGGGTGGTAATAGGAGAAAGAGAAGGTGACAATGAATCATGATTAATCAACGAGTAGAAAAATGTGGGTGGTTTTGATTAGCAGTAGGGATTGTCTATGTATAATAACAAGATTTAAAGGCTTAATATAAGGTCTTAAAATGTGGTGACTAATTTTAGTCATGTAATTTCTCCGAAGCAAAGGGAAAAACCTTTATTACTGAACTGAGGGTTGGCCTTCAAGAGACAACAGTTCTCTGATAGGCACCATGTTGCTGAATTCATCTACCTAGAGCATGGCCCAGCATTATCATATTTGTACAAAAGGCAGATTAATGATAAGCTAGGAAGAATCAATCTGGACTTTATGCATTCTATTCCAATTAATCTTTCTCTCTGTGGTGTCCTTTGTCCATAGGATTCTAGACCTATTGCCATTTGTTTGATAATGTCTGGAATTACACAGAGTGTAAGTATTTTCATGTGTAGATCAGCTATAATCTGATAACATACAAGGGCTGCAGTACATTTCATCTGGAAGCAGATCTTACTTCTTAAATTTGTAGGTGTGTTAAAGAAACTAAAGAACTATTCTTCTAATAACGATCCTAAAATACCAGCTTTGAGTTGGCACACAAAATTATGAAAGATTTTCATTGCTTGAATTTTTCTAATGAAGTTCACTTTCCCTCAAGCCTTTAGAAATTTACTCTCTAGCCACAAATTTGTCTTTCATGATCTTCTTTCACCATCTGGTATAACTAATTACTTTTTTAAAGAAAAATTTCTCTAGTTTTCTTCATTTGCTTTTAACTTATTTCAAGTCAATTTACTGTTTCCTTTTCAGACAATGGTAAAATTTTAG